TGAAAGAATGTCAAGAAAATTACAAAAATTATCATAAAACCTATCCACTAAAGTAAGTGGATATAATATTTTCCACACCAAATAGTTTAGTTTTAATATAATAATTAAGTCTCTTTTTGTTCTTACCAGTCACTAAAGCCATTCGATCTGACCGAAAACTCCGTCAACTCCTCTTCGGAGACTTATCCATCATAAAACTCGAATGGAATAGCTCGACTTATATTCGAAATTTTCTTATTGTTCCCATTATTATTTTAAAAGTTTCGCGATAAATCTCTCGCGATAACTCTATTATGTTCCTTTCGAGCGACACTTTAAAATATCTTCGAAGGCGATTTCTACTCGTCGAGCTCGAGAACCGATAACTTATTTTTAATGCAACGATTCTTGTTCGTAACGCGACTGTAATGACTTTTTATTAGCTGAATAGAGCTCGTAAAATTTTCAGTACACTCGAAAAGAACCTATTCAAAGTGTTTGTTGTGAAATTTGCACTGAAATTTGTAAACTGTATACCTACCAATTGATTATTCAATAAATTATTTTGATTTATATTAATTATTAGGTACATGCATCCGAATATAGTGATATATTCGGTATTGTATTTATAAGTAAATTAACTTATTAATTCGTTCAAACAAATTTTACTGATGTTATGTTGAAACCATTGAAAATGTATATATCTAATCATAAAATACTTGAGACACAAAATTAATGAAAGTTACAAATTGGTCTGCAGAAAAAACATTGTCTTCTTTTACATTCGAAAAGGATATCATTAAATAACCACCCTCTCTGATAGCTTCAAATTAATTAAAGGAAGAAGAAAAAGAATAAAAACGCATAGGAAATCAATTTATCTTTATAATACTAATTAAGCCAAGAATTCTTCTACTTTCAATTTCAATTTATCAAAGAAAAGCTTGTCATTAATCAAAAATGAAATTCTATCTCGGTTCTTTCTATTCAAGTGGAGACTGCCGAATTCCCGAGGGATAATTTCTTGACATTGTTTTTAACTCATAATAACGTATTTTTTCATTTTTTTCGATCGGAGATCAAAGGCTTTTGAAATAAGTATGACGATTAATATTTCCTTTTCCTTTTTTTCTTTGAGACTTTTTAGGAAGAAGTTGAGAAAAATGGAAATACATCCAAGGATTTAATGGCGGTCGTTAGGTACCATTAAAGATAACTAAATAAGTAACTACGAATCATAATAATAATGTCTTAAAATTTCTTCATTTTAAACTTATTGTCTCTCAATTTATGCAAGTCGATAAGACCTAATGTAGGTACATTAAATCAAATTATCTATGAATCTAGCTGTTGGTTTCAATAAAATCATCGATATCTTAAAATTTACCACTATTTACATATTCTATACAATAGGTGTGATATAATTCTATAAAAAAATCCATATCATAAAATAATTCAAAATTATAATAGGTAGGTAACTTGTATGAAAAGTCAAACGAACTGAATGGCGATCGTACCAGCGATTAGATGAGGCTATTATTGCAGCTGCATATGATACGTGCACCATTTTGTCATATGTTTAGAGCATTAGATAAAGCGTTTAACTTCCACTTCCCAGCTAGTTTCTCTAATCTATTATTAAACTTCGAATGTCCAAGGTTTCGCGAAAGAGCTTTCCTGTAATACTTAGTGATTAAAGTTTAGGTACTAGGTAACCACTCCAGCTTATATAGATGGTTATTACGGGCATATAATTTGTTTTTTTAATGATTAAGACAAAAGATAAGGAATATTATCGAGTTATTTCCATTTCTTGGCAAATACGTTGAACGAGATGATAGTAGGTGCCAAAAGTTCACGTTTTGACTATCAGAAATGTTCAACATTATTTTACACTTAGATAAGTTTTTAGATGAAGATGTCGAAAACTTTTAATACGTTTGTATTCGTCGCTAACAGAACTATCGACTGCTAGAGCATTATCATATCTCGTAGGTACAAACACATTCCGGCTTCTACATGACAAGGTTGCACAATCTCATAGCGGAGAGCATGATTTTGACAATGCGGAAAGCGGGGATTCACTTGATTATCTTGGGTAAATAGCTGACAATCAAGTAACACCTGATAACATTACGTTTCGCCCCGACTATGAATACACGGCCTACTAATTGAGGTTGTCTGGTATTTAGGCAGACGACTAATTAATTCAATGAAGTCGATTGGGCACAGGTTGGGATGCCATTGCGGCTGTATTTGGCGTTTTTGGCTAGGCTGTTATTAGATTCTCGGGACACGGATATAAGAGCTTTTTGCTCCGGAATGCTGCCGTTTCAGGTTCAGAATAGTGCAAAAACTTCACATTTCGCTCTAATGATGTTGTACACTTCAACCATAACAACTAGAGCCGTTAGCATTCACAATATCATGTAATAAGATGTAAGAAATACCATTAATTTTTTATGAATCTGTATATACTTCAGATGTTTTGAATTATTAAATTAGGTATACAATTCTTCAAAATATGCTCCTTTTGAAACTATACACATAGTCTGACTATACACTACTATACACATAGATTCCAATCATCGAAGGCTTCTTTATAGGCCTTTTTAGGCCCGTAAATATGGGGTTTCGATAAAACAGAGTCACTTTAAGCATTTGCATCGACTCGGCCCACGAAATTCCTTAAAAACCCAAAATATGAAAAGAACTCTTTTGTTCATTATGTTTGTCCATTGCAAAATTCGCAGGACACTCTACTAACATGAACTGATTCAATCAGCTACTACAACCAAACTGATTGAGAAATCTCTCTAATTTTTTGCATGCTAATTAAGAATAATGCATAAAGTGCAGGTAATTCAAAACAAAAATGCCGGATACTTTTTAGTCACAGTGTACACCAAGTGAAAGTTTCACTATGTTAATATTGGCCCTACTTAATAGATGGTCAAATATACATTATCAATGTTCCACATTGCTATGCACCCCTTACAAGTTCTCGTAACTATGCAAATAATGGTAATCTACATACAAATAGTAATCCGACAGGATCATTTTACCTGATTAATTATTACGCTAGGCGTCTCTTCTTTGATGACGTTGTTGAGCTAGTTCACTTAATTCTCTATACGTGGGTCAAGTTTTTTGCGAGGGACCTTCGAGTTTAACAAATTGAGGAAGGAAATTTGCTTCAAGATAGGGCCGCATAATGTAGTGCACGGATCTCTTGTATAATTTATTTCTTGATTACATTCACGCACTCGAAAACAAGTACCTATCTAAGTAGCTTTAAAACGTTACGTCATAATACGTTCGGAGCAGAGAATAGAGAATTTAGAGAATAGAACGGCGCTGTTATTGTGAAATGAGAAAATTGCACTGTGGCAGTGTTAAATTGCCCAGAGTTAACTTTGTTGTTGAGACTTTTGACGAACCCAAGGTTTGATTGTAATTACATGAATGTGGGAAGCTTATTATTCAGTGGAGAAGTGTATTAAATTAGGAGGTAATAAAATAACGTCAAACTAATGTTAATAGATAAAGTAGAGAAAAATAATTGATTTTTTTTAAATAAACGGTAAAACTTACGTCAATAAATTAGGTAATTAATAATTGGTATTGCAATTTAAAACATTAGTGCAGCTGTTCAACACCGAGTTGTTAAGGGTACGCATTGTTAAAACCGTTTAAATTTCTGATGACAGTTGATTACCTGAGAATAGGATACCTTTCAAGAGAATGGAGTCCGTACTTGGCTTCGTTAAACATGTATTATAATTAGCTTCAGACAATAATTTACTTATTTCTCAATTAAAAATAGGAGCCATACGTAGTTTTGAGCTTATTATGAAATAAAATGAATGTTATAATTCTCTTGTTAGATGGATATCTTCTGTTTAAACTTAGTATTTCAAGTTTTTTATATACTGTGACAAAAAAGTATCCGGAATTTATGATTTAAATTTCCTGCACTTAACATTTTTACCTATTTCAAGTTTCTGTATGTAAGTAACGCTGTTCTTAATTAGCATGCAAAAAATTAAAGAGATTTCTCAATCAGTTTGGTTGTAGCAGCTGATTAAATCATTTTCTTATTGTTGTATACCTAAGGGGTTGCGAACGCTTCATTAGCAAGGCGATTTCCTCTAACATATAAATCTATTTCCTCGAAGGAAAATAATCGGAATCGACGAAACTCTCATCACTTCTGAGAAAGTAAAGTTGTAGAAACTTTTATGCTAATAAATTCCTGAAGGATCGCAGGGATCGCGATTGTCCATTTCCCAACAGACCGAAGTCATGTTTTCTTTTAGTTTTCCACTCTAACAAAACTTGTGTCCGTTTTCAACAGATCACATTGAAAACATTTGTTGTTCGTTCAATTGTTGAAGTTCAGACAAAGCATTCTTGGAATTAGATAAATTGAAACTTTCATGTTTCTTAGAGATGTACATATATCTTATACAGAGTGTTCCATAATGACGTGCTAACATTTAAGTAGCTTAATCTTATAATGATTTATCATTAGAAAATTCATCTTGATTCATAGGAGTCGTGTGCCAAATTTCATAAAATATCTACAATAGTATCACAGTTATTGTAAAAAAATTGATTTATTTTTTTGGGTCCAGGAATCACCCGCCTTAATATTAGCATGTCATTTTGGAACACCCTGTTTAAGTTAATTAAAGATGAATGGAATAAAAAAATACTATCATTTACTGAAATATGTATACTATTTCATCTTTTACACTAATCTAAGGAGATTAATATCCCTTTGATATCCTTTATATCTACATTTTTTATCTCATTCTATCACTAGTCCCTGTCCATAGAGAAAGAAAGATATTGCCTATGTCCCTGTCTTCGTGCAAAAAGGTGCACAGTGCAAAGTTAGTGTTACACCTGAACGAACGAAATGAACGCATTTGTGTGAACGACATTGACATAACCTGTGACTTGACACTATTGACAGATGACACATTCTGATGACAACCTCTGACAGTAGGAGCGATGATTTTTATCCTCATTGCTTTTTATTTTTAATATTACTGAAAAAGACCGATCAGCGTTTATTTGCATGAACAAAAGATGTATTTTTAGTGCAAAGCGCTTTTTTATTTTTTTTTATTTTGGTTGTGTTCAATTTTGTGTTTCTTGACGACAGTATTAAAGTACAGCACACAGGTAAGTCCAGAGAATTGTTTATAAGTAATCAGTGAACAGTTCCTTATCAATATATTCCCATTTTCTTTAAATTCATATTAACTGTATTCAAAAGTAGTTTAAAATTTCATTGAACGATTCGTCTGATCTTTCTAAATTTTCAAAATTCGATTGCTCTACCACCTCTTATTATTATTTTTTAGTTCCGAGGATGGCTGCTATTAGTGAATTAAGGGTAACACTATTCAGTTGCTGCATACCACAACCGCCCAAAAGACGACACCATATCGATAGGTAAAAATATTTAAACGCAAACAAAACCAGGCCTGCAAAACGAACTTCCATTTCAGGTCTATGATAGGACATCCAACAAACTTTCAACATACTGGCCATGTAGGAAGCAGAGATGTTGAACTGCCCGGACATCAATTAGCTGCCTTACAGAATCAGATGAGAAGTAAAGGTGGTTACGAAACGCCTTATAAGGTAATTATTGCATTCTGATTAAGGACGAGTTTTACGAATCGAGAATAACTTTTACTTCGAATTAAAAGGAAATTCGATATAATTACAGTTCATTCTTGGCATGTCCAGCTTAAAATGCATCATTTTCAAATTCACTTTTATATGTTATTCGATAATTTAATGCATCATTTTAGCAAACACTCATCAATATTGATCACATTAATCCATTCATAAGAATTGGGTAGAATAGGATCATTGGTTTATTATTTTTGTGAGCAAATAATATATTAGTGGCTTTAATTGTAAACAAATTATATAAAATTTAACTCGATAAATCAATAGGTGAATTACAGTGTGACAAACTGTAATTTTACATTATCAGAAATGGTACTAGCAAACAAATATTTTATTAATGTTTCATCTCGGTGTCATTTCGAAATAATTCTTCCGAAACATAAAAAAAATTGGTATTATAGTAGCAATTATTATACTGTTAGAATTATAATAATTTTCTTTTTTTTATTATAGGAACCTGATTGGTGTCAATAAGATGTACACTGTTGCAAACCTATAGGAGATTTTTCTTTATTTATTTATTTTTGCATTATATTTAAGTTTTTCTGTGTATATAGATTAATATTATTCTGTTGGATAATCACGCGTTATTATGGTACGTTTTAGGGTAAGGTTTTTAAAAACTACATAGGAATTTTCAACTTTATAAGTTGTTCCTATTTACTAACAGGTGATGAATTCAAAAAAATGTTATGTTATGTTGCATTTCTAGAAAACATCTTTATTTGTACTTATTGATATAGTATAACTAATAACGAATGCTTTTAATTTAATAATTATACATAGAAATTAAGTATTTTAAAAACCACCAAAGAATATGCCTGAAAACATACACAAATTTACAACAGTAAATATTTAAAGTTATCTACATTTTGAATTATAGAACAATAATCCGACTTTCAGAGTTTCAAAGTTTGACTTTTAAAGATAATAAACATTTACAGGGTGTCCCAATGAAAAGTAACCCATTTAATCAACTTTTAAACGGCTAATTATAAAAACATGATATTCGTTTAAAAGTAGCTCATTAAATGGGCTACTTTTCATTGGGACTCCCTGTATTTCATGAACCAATATCCTGTGTTTGATGGTAAATATCCTTGTTAACTTTGAGCTCTTTAATGTAATTGATGACTGAAACGAATGCAGTTTGAATTTTAAATAAATACTGTTTCCATCTTAAACGGTGCTATAACTCCAATTCTAGCGATTTTAGCCATGAATTATTTTTATACATTTTACACGTTTAGAACAGATGTATTTACTTATTTAATAAAGCATATTGAACATTATCAAAATCATTTGTCCTTTTTTTATAGATTATGGTAAAAATTAATTTATTGATCATCATTATTTCCTTACTCAAGCATTTCAACATTTTTATTTATTTTCATAGTAATAGGATAAAAGTGTTTAAACACTGCCTGATTCATTTTCTATTTTTTTGTTTCAAGCCAAATAATTTTTGATCATCTTTAAAAAATACAATAACATTACATCGTGATCAGGTTTTAGGCATTTATCATAATGTAATTGGAATATTGGTTACTATCACAACTAATAGAAGTTATGCATAACAAAACGTCATAAATATTTTTTTATTACTACTACCTAGTTAACTATTACATTTATTGTTTTTTTAGTAGTTGCCTTTCAATGTTAATAATGTAAGCAAATTTCATTGTATATGCTTCATCGCTTTCAAAGGGTACAGTAATTATAAAAAGAGCGATGATCTTATTATTTTGTCTTATTTAACAGCATGAAGAAACAATAAGTAATTAAAGCTGATAAATTAGTGATAATTTTATAACATAAATAAAACAAATTAAGGAATAGAGGAATATATAAATTTGTATTATTGTCAACAGTTTTATTTTTTAAGATATTTTATTATCTATTCATAATTTGTGTATCTCTATTGAATGATCGATAAGAGATATTTTACAATTGGTAGACGTATAAACGACTTGACAATAATTTTCAGTCGTTCGGACATTATCTAACACTGTAAACATTGTTGATCGAATCAAAAGGTAAGTCTCATATTGCTAAGCCGATAAAATTATTTCGAATGCATTTGTATTCGTTTGATTTTATCGAATTTTTTTCTACAAATAAATCAGTACCTTTAATACTTTCCAATTATTAAGAATCTTGTAAGAGCGTTTTCACGCGGTGCAATATATTGCAGCAATAAATTGCGTTTTCACATGGTATGGTGCGATATATACTACTGCAATTTTTATACAAGCTTTAATAAAATCGTATCGGACACTTGTGAAAACTACGCATTTGAACGTTTATTGTGTTTTAACTGCAATGCAATATTGCTGCAATATATTGCCCTGTGTGAAAACGCTTTTATAGTATGTTTGTAAAAATTGATTTATAATAAAAAAGTACTAACTTACTGATTATAGAAAACCATTGTACCTTTACCTACGATAAATTTATCAACATTTAAACAAATTTATTGCGTTTCTTATAACAATTTTCAATTGCAAAACAAAGCGATCATATCAAAAAAAATTCTAAGTACTTTTGTTCTGTATAAGTCAATTATTAAAGGCTATTTTAGAGTCATTAATATTTTCTCTAAAACAGTTCATATTTCAATGGATAAATTCTCTTTTCAGTAAAAGAAAAGAAAAATGTTAGACAGGAGAAAAGTTGTACCGTTAATGCTGTTGTCGTTGCACTTGCTTTCGCCTGTCGAGCCGAATTGCCCGTCAGTTTGCAATTGTACATCAATTTCAGTTAGTTGCATTAATGGAAATTTAGAAGCAATTCCCGATTTCGATTCGCTCCTGACCGAACCTGTAACGATCGATCTGTCCGGTAACAGGATTAGCATCATAGATGCCGAAAATTTCGATTTTAACCAGAGCGCGAACGTGAAAGAGATGTATCTTAACAATACATATCTCATCGACATCGATGCCGGAGCTTTCAGCAAATTGATCAATCTCCAGGAATTGTATTTAGGGTTCAATTTGTTGAATTACGTGCCTTCCGATTTGATACGATATTTGCCTAATATGATTTTATTGGATTTATCGGGCAACTACTTTGAAGGTAACATCTTTACATCGCTCTTCTTATTTAATAATAACCGTTGTATTTACTATTTTAGGTAGTATGCCAGTTTTGAAATCGCAAAGTTTAGAAGTATTTACATTGCTTGACTGCATGATAACGAGAATTGAAAAAAAATCGTTGATACATCTTCCTAATTTAAAATTTTTATCATTGATGCAAAATAATTTACATTTTATAGATTCTTTCAAATCAATTCCTCATTGGTTCATGCTTAAATTACCGTATACTACTTGGACATGCGACTGCCAAACTTTTGAAAGTTTCGATTATTTGTCGAGCCTAAACTACATCGATTCCTCCGGGCGATATGAGTGCCATTTTCAAAATAATGCGGTTCAAATTTTCAATTCTCGAGACGTACGAACTCAATTGTGCGGAAAGACACCCCGTGGACAAAAAGAAATTCGTGTAACAAAGGAAATTTTCAAAAAATCACTTCCGGCTATATCGGTAAGCACTTTCCAGGCAAATACTGAAGATGACAACAAATTAATTGAGAAAAGAAATATGTCGATAGGGGTATCCATCAATTCTCTAATGAAAGTATTCTTCATGTTTGTTATGATTGTAGTTTTAACAGTGTTTATAAAGGGCACTTTCGCTTCCAAGAACAGAAAATATCTTAGAGATACTGACAGTACCACACGTTTGGTATAAATAAAGACATTCGCTGTTTACTTTTATACCTTTTATTTATTGTTAGTGTCACGAATGAATTTTAACTGATTGAATGCTACTTTGCTTGTTATACATGTGTACTTGATTATTCTCAACATTTTTTTATACTCCCATTTTTAAACTTTACTAAATTTTAACATTTTGTCAGTATACAAGAGAAAATGACCAAGTTCATTTGAATAATTTTGAGTTACTAGTATTTCAATTTTTGCTTATGATTATAAACTCAATTATGTAGTTTTTAATAAGGATTTTAAATTAAAAATTCCAGAATTTTGTCACTTTTTCTTGTTTGTATATCGACGATTTGACACCTTGTCTAAATAACGAATAATTGTTATTTTATATTTGATTAATGCTTCTATATTGAAGTTTATTTTCGCTTATTAAAGCGTTTTTATCCATTTTTTGTAATCTTAAACTTAAATCATACTCGGCCTTATCCTTGAAAATAGATCGTTTAAAAGGTGTAAAAAAACTTAAAATAAATAAAGCAAACTTCATATTTTTCATTGACAAAATGTAATTATTTACAGGATGTTCCTGAACATCGTGCACATACGAAAGAGGAGAATTCTTTGGCTTATTTCATATTTATTTCTATTTATATGAACTATTAGTCATGAAATGAAATAAGCCAAAGAATTACCACTTTCTGATGTGTACGATGTTTACGAACACCCTGTATAATACCTATTGCTATGATTAATGCATTTTATGTAGTTGTTCGGTTGTTCCTAAAATATGATATTATGTTCCAAATTAAGAATATTTTTCAGTTATTAGTTGTTTTTCAACGACTTGTATATCTTTTGTGTAATAATTTTATATTGAAAATAAATGTTTTTTTTAATAATTTGATTATTGTGGATGTAGGACGGTTTAATATCTTTTGTGGAGGTTCCAATTAAAGGAAATCGATTTAATAAGTTGCTTCTATATAATTTATTTCAGACTCTAAGTACAGGTTACTTACTATTCATACAAATATATGTAATTCCGAACTGATACCTGTTTTAATTTAAAAATATTTTGAATAAAATAGTTTGTTTTCTTTTTAACTGAACATAGTGCATCACCAAATCACGTCTAAAATAAAATTATATTTACATACTGATAGTCACATAGGGGTATTACCAAATTAATAATACACATTTTTATTACGTTAAATACGCATATGAGTATATTAACCTAATCCTAGAAAAATAACAATAATTTATAACATTTCTTCAACATTAGTAATACTTATGATTTATTTTTTTTTATTGAGATATTGTTTCAACGTAGTTAGCGGGATAGAGGCCCACACAGCCGTCTTTCCTTCCTTTACACCAACCCTGTTCATCCTCGTCTTCCAATTTTTCAAAAACATCACCTGAAAAATATATTTTCGTGGTAAAAAATTGTAATTTATCGATCATGCATCCGCCTTTTATTATACAGGGTGTTATTTCTTCTCAGGAATGTAACTTTGTATAAAGTTAAGTTGTGTTAAACAACATATTTTTAGCTCTCCTGCTCTGTGTCGGTTCTTAAGCGGGACACCCAGTATAAACTAATAAAATCTAACCTGTTTTGAAAGTAAGTTCATCGCTTTCAGCGCCGTCATAATCGTAAAGAGCTTTCACAGGAACACCCGGTTCTCCTGTGTCTACTAACGCATCATTCTCTTCCCAATCCTCTTCTTCAAATGGATTAGATTCATTGATTTTATTGGAGGATCCATTCCTAGATAAACAATCGGATTTTAAATTTCGGTATCAAATTGTTGTGGAAATTACATACGTTACGGTGGACATTCTATTTGAGGGGCTGTTGTTTTCTTCTGCATTTAACTTGACTGGCTTCTCTTGCGGCGGGGGCACAGGGTTCTGTTGTTTAGTAGACGATTGCTTCTTAATCGATTGCTGAGTAGTCGAATAATCCTAAAATAAAAATTGTACTTTAGAAATGTTTTCTTGTATTATAAATAGTATATATACAGGATGTTAATTAATTGAATGCCGATACTTCGGGATGTGAATATTTGGATGATTTTAAGAAGAAAAGTTTATATCAATATATGTTCTAAACCTCTTAGTTTTCGATTAATAATTTTCGATAGGCATTTAATTAATTAACACCCTATATTTTGCAAATAAGGGCATGATCCGACCTTACTTGTTAGCTGAAAGAGTTACCTGCAATGTTTCTAATTTACCGTCATTCCTCTCTGCTTTCTAACAACCTAATGTTACTAATAAAACAAAAAAAAAGCATTTTTTTAATTAGATGCCCGTATTTTGTTGAAGAATTTCCGAAGATAATTAATTATATGCATTTTTAAAAGAAACTTCATTAAAATACTGGCATCTCCCCGGTTAGAAACTATAGCTTTCTAACATGAAAACAAAGTTATTAAAGTTAGTTAATAAAAAAAACGTACATGCAAATCTTCTCCAACTGGACGTTGGTGGATCAATGTGATTCCTGAAGGGGAAGTATCTTTGGATTTCCCTTTGTGTATATCCCGAAATTCTTCAGCATATTCCTAAATAAAATAAAACAAAAACAACGAAATAAACTAATCATGCATTAACCCCTTTCGCAATTAAGCATATACCTCAAATTGCGGCCAATTCATGGCCATATTCACTCCGTGATTGTTCGACCACCATTTCAGATCCTTTTCGTAATCTGCATTATTTATTATATGATAAAATTCTTCATATATTTGAGTTAATCTATAATTAAAAATGTTAAGATTACTATCACACATTAAAATTACTGAAAAACCATAACTCTTAAATTCAGTCGAAAACAAAACTCACGTTATATCTTGAGACAGGTTAAGATATTTATGCATTCCGAATAGAGTTGACTTGATAAAATCGAGCCTTTGAGCCTCTAATTCCTGGCATTTATCGAATACGACTGTCATATCTTCCATATATTTGGGATTGTATTGATTTATTTCCTTTAAGGCTAGCTCGTACTTTTCTCGACATTTCTGCACTTCCTCTTTAGATTTTTGAACTCTATCTTGCATTTTTCTAACCTAAAGATGTTAGTTAGTTATAGGCTAGTCATGTAATAGTAGTTTTGAAATTAAATTATCTATTAATATAGCAATAGACATACAAACCTGGTCAGCGGAAAATGATGTATCTCCGGAAGCATTACGCTCTTGATTAGCTGCAGACTTTTCAGTTTTACAAGCCGTATGATAGTCCATTTTGCATTTTTCCACTTTCTGTAATAATTTAGTCCAAGGCTTTTGAGCTTTCTTAAATGCATCGTCCATATCTTTCTTCTCTTTAATATTCATCACAGACTAAAACAACCAACGCATATGATAAATTAAAGCAACGAATTATGTAAATGTACAACGTACTTTATGATAATTCATTTTCTGCCAATGCTTCACTTTATTGACAATATCGTTGGCTAAGTTATCCCTGATTTTAGAATGAAGATCGCATCTTCTGTCGGCTTCGATGAGCACCCCTTTCCAAGCGGCCTCCGTCGTACCGTATTCGGGCCCCTTTTCGATGGACTCGTTCCATTTTTTCGACCACGCTTTCAACGATTTGGCGTAGCTACGCTCGATCTCGGCTCGTTCGTTAACCAGCGATATCAGCTCTTGGCACAGCTTGTAGCCATCTTCGATGCGTTTGGTCGTTTTTTTGTAGTTGCCCGGTTCCCAAAATGAGTCACTCGTCGCTATGAGCATGTTGTCATCGCTGTGATGAGACATTTTCCAGTTGTTAATTGGCACACCTAAAAACCACACTCCAAGCATTAATGATGTAACACTAATCGGCTGTAAATTATATCCAAATATAAATAATAATATTTGGTATGGTGTGATAATTCGTTCGGCTTTGAATACGAACTGAACAAATAACACATAATAAATCGAACGGTACGTAATAACTGAAGTATACGTAATATAATAGAATTAATTTTAAAAAGTACAAACTTATTTGTCATTATTATTTATAAAAAACGACAAAACCTTTATTGTTGAATTTAAGTAGTAGGTGTAAAAGGTGTTTTAATTGTAATTTATTTCTGTTCAAATAGAAGGAATGTAATTTAGATAGAGTGCAATACTGCATCGACAATGTAACTGCGATAATATATAAAAATATATCAAACTAAACACAACAAAAGTTCTACGATAAGCCTCTACAAGTAGTCGAGGTAGATGAGGGAACAACCGGTAAAGGGTGAGTAACCAATCTAAGGATAAAAGAGAGTTAGTAACATCATGCAAAAAATCTAGTCACACGATTTGCTTACACTATTTCAAAGGAAACAACGAGAATGTTTCAAATCGAAAAGGAACGCATGATATTAGGGAAATCGTGTAGAAGAAGCGTCTGAAATCCTCATGAATAGTTAAGCTGTAAAAAATATTAAGAAAATTAAGAATGGCGATTGATTAAAATAGTTTTACAAAATCCAAATGAATACTAACCGATAAATCAGCTACACTAACTTAATTATCAATTTTTATGGGTGAGTGTAAGGAGTGTCAGTTTACTCGATTATTTCAAATGTTCATTCACTCGTGTGTACAATTAACGTACTTTTCAATGATAAATTGTTATCTAAATACCTTTACTCCTGTTTAATGATAAACTAGATAAAATTTCTTACTGTAATATACCTAACATATTACAAAATAAAGAGTGTGTATTCAAAGAAGGCTACTGACACAATTTAAACTAGTTATGAAGATACCAAGAAAATTGTCGTATTCCTTTTAAATTTACCGTGAAAACGTTGATTTTTAGATGTTCAGAGACTATTAAATGATAAATTCAACAAACGATGAATACTACAACTACTTAAATTGAATTAGACGCAAGTTACATTACCCCGTTCGATATGGTTTCTTTTAAAAAAATAACTAAATAGCCTAGAAATGTTGGGATAATCACCTTAAAATAAATCAAAACAAACACTTTTAAAAAGTCCTAATTTTTGTAAAATAGGATTAAATAAACATCCACTTTTAGGCCGTAATCATTTGCCAACAGTAAAACCAGTATGACCAACTGAATTACGGAATATTGAATTCCAACGAAGAAACTAAAATTTACAAATAAAAGAAAAAACGTAAACAAATAGTCAGAGATATAAATAGTCGAATGTAAATCGTTTATTTTAATGTTGTAAACACATTAATCAGTTATAGCTCATAACTCATCTAACAATTTAAATTTTTTTTAGATATTGGATGGGTGTTGGTTCAGTTTAATATTTTTAAATCGAGTCGGTTGGTAAACCTGTTTCGTGACATTGTCAATTCGACAGATGTCACTGTCCGTGTCATTGATAAATAAGATAACTAACCACAAAACACCAATTCATAACAGTGGTCGATCGACCCAAGTTATCTTTTTAAAAATTTAGTTTACGGATTTAAGTGATAATGTGATAGTAGTGATACACAATGTAATCAATTTATGGATGTCGAGTGCTAGGAAAGTTTGAATGATTATCTCTAACACGATTAGAGATTAAATATCTGCTTCAATTGTGATATTTCACTTCTCTCACTTCTCTGTAGTTTTGCATACTCAAAGCGATGCTTTCAAGTAAAACCAAGCACTTCTTACATTGCCTGCTATTTTTTACCGTTATATTATTTTTCGAAATATTCGCTGGAGGAATTAAAATCTTAAATGGAGGTGTATTTGTTCCTGCAGAAGAATTGGATCCCTGGACACATTACACTGTACTCGGAGCTTTAATATTGTACTTCTTAAGGTTTCTTACGTTTTTACCTCTGCCTCAAGTGATTTTTAATTTTGTCGGATTAACGCTGTACAACGCCTTTCCAGAGAAGGTCGTTTTGAAAGGCTCTCCGCTTCTGGCTCCATTTATATCCATTCGAATAGTAACAAGAGGCGACTTTCCACAACTGGTGAAAAATAACGTCGATAGAAACATGAACAAGTGTTTAGATGCTGGATTGGAGAATTTTTTAATAGAAGTCGTCACCGATAAAGCCATTGGATTACAGCAGCACAGAAGAATTCGAGAAATAGTCGTACCTTCGGAATACCGAACCAAAAGCGGAACGTTGTTTAAAGCTCGAGCTTTGCAGTATTGCTTGGAAGAAAAAGTAAACATTCTCAGCGACAACGATTGGGTGGTGCATTTGGACGAGGAAACTCTGTTGACTGAGAATTCCGTGAAAGGTATTTTGAACTTCATTATGGAGGGGTCCCATCAATTCGGACAGGGTCTGATTACTTATGCAAACGAAGAGGTCGTTAACTGGATAACCACCCTGGCAGATAGTTTCCGAGTCACTGATGATATGGGTAAATTGAGATTGCAGTTTCGGATGTTCCACAAGCCGTTATTTAGCTGGAAAGGATCCTTCGTTGTAACTAAGGTTTGTTTATTTAAATGTATGTTTTAGAATAATTACAACAATTTATAGAAAAATATGTATACCCTTGAATAAAATTCCATTTCCTACACAGTAAACATAGGTGATGTGTACTTAAGTTAATTAGTTTTATATGGTGTAACAGGTTTAATTAGATTTAAATACTCATGGGTCGTAATTAGCTAACATCATAATCAGTAAATCAATAAGCATTATTCATCTTGTTTATTCTATGGGAATATTAGTAATTTTTAAAGTTCAAATAATATGAATCATTTTGTGTAGATCTCGGCAATAACAAAAGTTCAAATTGAAATGTTGTAAATTAAATTGTATTTCATTTTATGCAGGTAGTCGAGTATATTTTAATGTGACTGTTCAAAAATTTTCCAAATTTAAGGTATAAAGCACATAAAGTACAAGAATGCTGGGTTGAATGTTTCAATATATTTGCAGAGCATTGCATTGTTCCATTGAAACGGTACATTTTTTAGTACTTGAAATGTTATTCACGTGCATTGTAAATCATTTTGTTTAATTTGATTGTTTCATAGGATTTAGGACCAGTTCTAAAAATCCTTGTTTAAACCAAGAATAATCTGTACTTGGAATACTTACTGGCATTGAACTTCTGGTTTTTATAAAATGTTAAAATTATTGGTTATTAAAAAATATGTCCGGAAATGCACAGTTTTCAAGATACAGGATGTTGCAATGTTATTTAACATCAAGTGAAAGTATCTTGTGGTCTTTGCTTTAATTTATTTATTTTCGTTTTAGTTGGGCGCTGAAAAAGATGTCTCTTTCGACAACGGTTTAGATGGCTCCATAGCAGAAGATTGTTATTTCGCAATGCGAGCCTTCAGCAAGGGATATTCCTTCAACTTCATAGAAGGAGAAATGTGGGAGAAATCGCCGTTTACCCTTTGGGATTTCGTGCAGCAACGGAAACGTTGGCTGCAAGGAATCCTTTTGGTCGTTCATTCCAAGGCCATTCCGTTCAAAAATAAAATACTTTTGGCTTGCTCATGTTACTCTTGGTTAACTTTACCTTTGTCAGTATCTAATTTAGTTTTGGCGTCGAAGTTTCCGATACCTTGCCCGCCATTTATTGATTTTTTGTGCGCGTTCATAGGAGCTGTGAATATTTATATGTTCGTTTTTGGCGTAATAAAGTCTTTCACTGTATATAGATTCGGATTTGCACGATTTATGCTCTGCGTTATTGGAGCCGTTCTCGTCATACCTTTTAACGTTATTATTGAAAATATCGCCGTAATTTGGGGCATTTTAGGGAAGAAACATAAATTCTATGTTGTTAATAAAAACAGCGGCCCCACAATGACTGTTTAATTTAATATATCAATAAGCACAAATTTTTTTGCTCAACTCTTTGAAGTATTATTACATAATTTAGCGTTTGTATTTATACCATACCAAAGATTAATTAATAATGATTAGTCCATAATAAATAAATGTACTTAAGTAATAAACCGTTTGTTTTGCAATACATTTTGTCTTTGTTTTCCCAGAAATTTTAGGCTCTCTAATGTATTCAATAAAAGTGTCTATAGAGGGTATTTACAATCTGTTTTAGTATAGTAGTATACAGTTTGACAATTTAAAAACTTACAATGGGCTATATGTATTTCACAAACGAAAGATGATATCAAAAAAATGTCTAAAACAGTTTCTAGGATATCTCAACTAAAAAATTTTAAATAGCAAACCCCTATTTGTGATACATCAATAAACATTTTTACAAAACTGCTATCCAATAGTATAAATAATAATTATACAGGATGTATCAAAAATTACCAAATTAATATCTAAATTATAAAAACAAACAAACCCCTACTTGTGGTACAACGTTAAAAAGCTCTAATTTTTCATAAAAAGAAGTAGATGAGAGAGTAAAGGTTTCGCTTGGAGCAGCTTGATGTTGCTTTAAAACGAATAGTTTGTGGAAAAACGACAATAGTCATTTTTGCGAAACTAAGCTCCCAGTTTATTTTTATAGCATTTTTTAGTTACTATCAGATAGTGAAATCAGTAAATGGAAAAAATTGCTAAAGTCCGCAAAACAACAGCTAAAAGATACCTTTAATTTCACTTTCTAACGAGTAAGTAAACTTATATTTTAATTTTTCTTGAAAATCTTTTGGATGGACCATTGTCGTTCTTCCCCTGCACCCTTCATTTGCTTAAAACGAAAAGGATTTGCTTGTAAAAATAAAATCTAGGTCCCCCTAGGTTTCCCCAGTTTCTTATAACTGACTGGGTGTACGTTAGAACTGTCTAGAACCATTTAGAACCGGCTAGAGCAATTTGGAACGCTCCAGAATCGTTTAGAACCATCATTTATTAGACTCGTTTCGACTAGCTTGACGAAATCGCTAATCAGAAAAGCAGTTTAAATCCGAAGAGTTTATCCTGGATTTTTTTTGTATGTGGATAAGTATTATTTTGTTTTAGAAATTTAGTTGTTTAGTGTATATACGTAGATAACGGGGAGGTAAATATCGGAATAAAGGATCAACGAATCAACTTTAACGTCACGAATTCTCCCCTAAAGCCCTCAGAGGCACCCCAAACAAAATTGGAATGCGCAGTTCTCTATTGCATAAATCTCGCTGTCTTTCCAGCCCTCAGTAGCGCGTCGACTAACGCCGGCGTCGTAATGACGTTTCCCCATTTTTAAATGGTTTTTAACGCCGTAGGGTATACAAGCAATAGTAGATAAATACATTTTCTCGTTACTTATGAACGGTAAATACAATATGGATAACGCGAATCCTTTCAATTTTACGTAACAGCGGTGGTGCTCTTTCGATTTAGTTGTTTTTAATGTATCAAAATGACTACGGTCAGTGGAGCTGAAGATGCAAGGTAATATTTAGTGTTAATTTAAAAATATTACAATTATTATTTTCATTCAATGTTTTTATATTTACACCTGGTTTATGGTTATGTGTAAGCTTCTCGTATACAAATTATTCTTCTTGACATTTATGATCCTGTTGCTCTATTTTCTATCCATAAATCTGGATTATATATTTGCTATTTGGTTTAATAATTTACAACTTAAAGCATCTATACAAATTCAGTTAATACCTAATATTTAATTATTTAATATTGGACCCATTTTAATTACTTTTTAAAAGCGCAAATCATTTTTAATAAGTTTGAAGTATCACGCTTGAACTTTCATACCAAGTAAAATATTTGTATTTGAGACCCAGTATTTGATTATTAGTTGATAAATGATAACTATAAACACTTCAATAGAAGCAATAACCAGTATCTACACACTAAAATTATTGATAATATATTAATTAAAAAAATGCATCTATATGAAATCATAATTTATTATACCTACTGAACTATTTATAATAACTTTAAATGCGCTGGAATTTACTCTGGATAGAGTGAGGCGGCACGTTTTAATTTATTCAGCAATTTGCTTTGTTTTAGAACGGCACAGAAACAATCATCTCCTCATCATGCAAAACGACACAACTATAATGAAGCCGAGGGAACTGGGTTTAGCGGCATTCTTCAGAAATGTCCGCCGCCTCTTCCTCCTGCATTCCTGCGAAAAATGGATTGCAAAGAAAATGGAGTAGGAAAGGTTGGCAATTTGCCTTATTACTTTACCTTATTTTATAGCTGAAAGGTTATATTTTCCCAGGAGAATTTACTAAGACCAAATTTACATTCCGGATTACGCCGGGCTTCATTTTACTGCTATTATTTTAGAACGTAGATAACGGGGTAGTTAAACTTTAAGACGTTTGGGAATTATGGGATCACGGAAGGCAGTAAAAGGAAATGTTTTATTTATTACATCGAAAAAAACGCTATAAAACATTTTGTTCCTACAGGTACTTCATAGGTACTTGAAAGAAGTTTGAGGATACTCCATAGTGGTTTTACTGTTCTATTCACTTTTATAAATGATTTCATCACTTTATTCTAGCAAATATAGTGCTAGAAATAATATTTACTGCAGTGTCAAGTCCAAACTAATTAATATGCAAGGGATGCCATGGCTGGGATAAATGAAAAATTACCTTCCAACGTCCAACAACATAAACCACTTAACGCTTCAAAATCCCATTGATTTGATTACGCATTTCAGTTGTCCATTTTGGGACGGCTGACGTTCCGTTATACCTGGGACAAGTTGATTTATTAATTCCATTTATCTCTACCACATTGCTGAATTAATTTTTGATTAAAAAGTAAACATGTCGTTCTTACGGCGAACCCAAATTTATTATTTACGTACGGTTCGTATGCGTGAACAAAGTTTAATATCACTCCATTTATCTTCGAAATGAAATACCATTCAAATTCATTCAAAATTCCTCGAAAAAATTCCGCGATTCCGAGGGCTGATAGGCGTAGGGACTGTTTTCAAATGCAATAAAACTTTTTTACGCTTTTGTGTGCCTAATAAAACATGCAATGGCTCTATAAATGAGCGAGATCCTGACTGAAAGCCTGGAAAATGATTGATGCAGCTCATTATAATGGCGTGTTTTATAACTATGTAAACGGTCATTCTTCCGCGGGAGATTCTTGTTTTCTGATATTCGTTATTAATAAAAATATGTACGCGTGTAAAAATTCTTTTCTTATTATTATAACGTAATGAGTATGCAAATGAATGAGCGGTTGAAGGAAAAACGTGGTTTATGAAGATTTTTTTCGTGTTTGATAAGAAAACCGAGTATCTCCACTTTAGTTGAAATTATTGGTAGAATAAAGTGTTCATAACTCTCTCGAAAATCTGCTGAAGGAGCTCCTGCTTGAATTAGAAAGGGGGAATACAATGGATCGATGAATCGCAGATTCTTGACCCTCTTTCATTCCATTGTCTTGTGAGTGACGAGCGCTCAACGATTTTCTTGAATAGAGATTTTTTTACCGCAGGAAATCATTAAAAGTTTTCATTGTTTAATTAGTTTGGTGGCGATGCATTTTCCATTAGTCAAATATTTTACATTATTAATTTTATCGCATTGTTATAAACACGAAGAGAACTTTCAGTCATTAATTTTCCTCCATGAATTTTCCCTACCATAACGTTTTACGAGTATTCCGTCTGTTCTTGTTCAGTTTATATTGGATCGTAAAAGCCTCGAGCCCATTACATTTGAGAGTTTATTTTTTCAATTCGGGCTAGTACACTTTACAAAATCTAGTGTGGCTTTTACATGGTCGATTTGAGCTTTTGCTTTCAAATAAAAAAGTTGGTATTGTAAAATCCACTTAAATAACAGAATCAATTAGGTAATTAGTTGATAACAAATAAAATGAGAATTAAAATTTTTAATTACGCAAACAGATTACTCTTATTTCTTTTGAAATTGATGCGCCGCCAAATAAACATCTTGAGCCAAAACCTTTGGGACTTGCATGGCAGCAAAGTGACCGCCTTCGTAATCGTTGAGTTGAATTAAATTCGAGTAAACTTCTTTGAGCATCCCGTCTGGAGTGTAGAAATCATGTTCGAAGCGAGCACACGCAGTCGGAACCTTTATTGGTTGCCTGAAAAAAAAACCATACTCTATTATTTTAAATATGTTAAGTTATAAACTAAAAAAAAGGAACATAAAGGTATCGATCGTTTTTAAATGTAGGTATCGAATTTTAATTTATCTATACTAAATAATTCGAATACTGTATGGTATTTACTAGTAACTAGTATTTAGTGTAGGAAGGATGATCTCATAATCTTCATAAAAAATCGAATAAATTATGAAATAGCTAAACCTGAAGAATGTATTCAACACGAAATATCAACATTTCAAATTCCCTTTCCTCTGCTCATTTTCATGTACTAGTTTTTATGAATATGGTTATCAAAATTAGGTAAGTATGTAAATTCAATTCACTCAAGCGTATGTTAAAATTCAAAAATTAAAAATAACATAATGTGAACCTCAATATAAAGTAGTATTTATAAGTAATGGCTTGTTAAATTTTATTAGAATGTCTAAAACTATTAATTTCTAACGTACTTAATAACTAGGAAAATTAAGGTTATTACCTCAGGATTCCTTTTCCCATGTAATCTCTATTAAACGTTTCAGAGTATAATCGGAAAGAGGTAGTTGCCGATTTAGTAACCCAGTAAAACATAATATTGTCAAGTAGATCATCATAAGTAAAGTATTCCAGTAAGCCACCATCTTCTCTTAACTGCCAGGCTTTGTTCGTTCCAGTTACAAATTTTTCTAAAATGTATGCTGCTAGGCCCACAGGGGAATCATTTATTCCAACACCTGAAATAAAAGAAATTGTTCTGTTAACTATTAAAAAACACAATACATAAGTCAACGAGTAGCACTTACCTAAAGTATCAGGTTTTGTGGCTTGTTCGTGGAGATATCCCGTTTCTCTTAATCTAATGTAGAAGTGTTCTCTCCCTGGAAATACTCTATCGTAATGATCCGGACGAACGTACCAGAATGGTACAGATGGACAAAAGCTAGCGAGAACCAGTTTAAAATAGGCCATAGGTGAACTTACAACGCACATATTCGAATGATATCCCAATACTGACTCGGGATATAGAACTGCTAAGTTATTTAAAATAATTGCTCCAAAATCTCCACCTTGGGTATAAAACTTCTCGAACCCTAAACGGTTCATTAAATTTTTGAAAATTAGAGCAATATGATCGGGGCTCAGTCCTGGTCGCACAGCTGGCGCGGAAAATCCATAACCTAAAGATTTGATGAAAGTTGAGTATAGTATTTTTAATTGAAACCGGTTTCATTACCTGGTATATGTGGAGCAATAACTTCGAATGTAAAATCGAATCCATCCTGTGGTGTAGTCAATATCGGTATAATTTCATAGAATTCTCTGACGGATCCAGGCCATCCGTGCAGTAATAAAAGAGGCAGTACTTTGATGGTTGGTGGCACCTTGGGCTTAACGTGAATGTAATGTATGTCTAGTCCTTGAATGTTTACCGTAAATTGTGGAAATTTGTTCAAATATTTTTCGCGACTTCGCCAGTTGTATTTCGTTTTCCAATAATCCACTACTTTCTTTAATAAATTGGTGTTCATACCATATTGTTGTTGAATACCTTCGAGTGGAGGTGTAAACGGTCTGTGATGTTCTAGCCTGTATTTCAAATCTGAAAGTACCTGTAATATTTTTGTAGATTTATAATTTCATTAATATGAATCTTAAATACTTACAGTTTCTGGCACATTAATAGTAAACGGTTTAATTTCGCTTTTCACTGATCCAGGTTTTCCAGGTCCCCACCATTTTTCTTCTAGCGCCGGTGGTAAAGGAGATGGAGAAAATACTACATCATTAATTTTATAACCTACATACGCTAAAAATATTACTAAAAGTCCCCTCGTAACTGTACCCATATTTAATCAAAACTGCCGGCTTGTTCTACGCGTACTATACGAGCGCGCCTATCAAAATTTGTAATTGATATTGACGAGCATATCTCAAGGATTTTTTAGATTACCTGTAATTACTTACTATACAGGTTCGTATTTATTTCAATGTTGAATGATTATCATATTTCAATGTTTACCTACTGTTTACGGTTTAAAAATGTGGGAAAATCGAAACGAAATCAATGTATTATTAATTGGTTCTTGCTCACTTTGTTTCAAGAGAGAATACATACGTGAAAAATATGTTGAATAGTTTTTTGTTTTAATTAAAACGTATAAACAAAATAAACAAAATCGGATAAGTAGTTTCCCATATACAGATAGTTTTAACTCGTCGTGGGACACCCTGTATATTTTGAATAAAAACTAAAGTAGATAACTATGATGTAATATACATATATGCATTACGTCTGGTGTTTGCTTTCAATTAATTTCACAGCTGCATAAATATCGTTAGCAAAAAGCTTCGGCAACTGCATAGCAGCAAAATGCCCACCCTCGTAGTCCGTAAGCTGTATTAAGTTCCCAAATATCTCTCGTATCATTCCATCGGGTGTGTAAAAATCATTTTCAAACCGCCCACAAGCCGTTGGTACTTTTATTGGTCGTCTAAAAGGAAAATAAATCAACAGAATTAGTCCATTTTAAAGAGTTCGAGCTGCCTGATTAAAAGATTACCTTAAGATTCCTTTACTGAAATAATCTATATTAAAGGTTTCTGCATATAGTCGGAAGGATGTTGTTGCTGACTTGCCAAACCAATAGATCATAACATTATCCAGCAAAGCATCATAAGTGTAATATTCCAATAAACACTCGTCATCTCTCATTTGCCACGTCCTATTCGTTCCTGTTACGAATTTTTCCAAAATGTACGCTGCCAAGCCGATTGGGGAGTCATTAATTCCCACACCTGAAAATGTATTTCAAATTCAATTTGATAAATTGGTGTGGCAAAAATTGTACTAAATGATGGATTTGTACATTTTATGTTCTTTTTTGTGTTTTAAAATTACGATATTGTTACCTAAAGTGTCAGGTTTCGAGGCTTGTAAGTGGAGATATCCACTTTCGCGAAGGCCAAAATTTATCAGTCCTTCCTCTGGAAAGAGCCATTTGTAATGATCGGGTCGAACGTACCAATAAGAAACCGATGGAAAAAATTTAGCCGCTATTTGCTTCAGAAATGAAAGAGGCGTAGCGACATAACACATATTTGAATGAAATCCTAGTAAAGAATCGGGATATAAGACCGCTAAATTTTGGAGAATAATTGATCCAAAATCTCCACCTTGGACATAAAATTTCTGGAAACCTAAGCGGTTCATCAAATTTTTGAAAACTAAAGCGATATGATCCGGACTTAAACCGGGTCTTGCAGCTGGTGAAGAGAAACCAAAACCTAAAAGAAAAAAAAAACAGTTACATTAGGTAATAAATTTGCATTAAAGTCAATTATGGGGGTTCTTATCACTCATACGATTAACTCACCTGGTATATGTGGAACAATAACTTCAAATACAAAATCTAATCCATCCTGTGGTGTAGTCAATATCGGTATCAATTCGTAAAATTCTCTCACAGATCCAGGCCAACCGTGCGATATTAAAAGAGGCAGTACTTTAATAGTAGATGGTACTTTCGGCTTCACATGAATATAATGAATGTCTAACCCCTGAATATTTACGATAAATTGAGGAAATTGATTCAAATATTTCTCACGACTTCGCCAGTCATATTTCGTTTTCCAATACTTGATTATTTCTTTTAATAAATTTGTGTTGAATCCGTATTGATGTTGTGTACCTTCAAGTGGCGGCGTTAATGGCCTGTGATGTTCCAATCTGTATTTAAAATCTAAAAAGTCCTGAAAAAGTCTTTATTGTTATTTCCACAAATTATATATTAATGACCAAGTCAGCTGCTCGTCAGCTGCTCGAAGTAAAATATTTTTTGCTTAACTCCCTGTAGCTTAAAATCATATACTTTCTAGGGAATGCTTATACAGGGCCATTATTTTAAATATTTTGAGATGTAATAACCTCTAAAAGTTTGATAGTATATATCAATTTATGCGACATCCTTAATAGTTGTTAACGCGGTTACGGTGTACTTTGCTCTTGTATGTGCAATTATAGAAATTTTAATATATTTAGAGAGAAAATTACCTGCTGAGTTAAGTACCTTAGTGTACCCAATTCTATTAGGTTAAATAAAAAAAATCACAAATACTCATGTGGACCATTGAACTTTCATCTTTTCAACGTAATCAATGCGCTGTTCAAACACATTGTTAAAAAATTGGGTATTATCAGTTTGTAATTTTTGAATTTGGTATTCAATTAAATCATTTTAAAAATACGATTGAAGACAAATATAGATAATGTGAAATCATTTCAGACGATAGTATCAAATCAATAAAATTCCTTTTAGGTAATTGTATAAATGATAGAAGATACTTACGGACTCCGACACATTGATAATAAACGGTTTTATATCGCTTTTCACTGATCCAGGTTTTCCCACGCCCCACCATTTCTCATCTAACTGCGGTGGTAATGGAGGTGGAGAAAGAACATCGTGCAGTTTGTAGCTTATGTACGCTAAAATTAACACAATCAATCCTAAAAATTTGAACATTTTTGTCTGACTGAGAGAATCTTAATAATAAAAAATGGTTGGACATCACTCAAGGATTTTGCGTTACATACTTGTAAACCATGTGTAATACTATAAACAGGTTCGGACTTACATTTTTTTTACACTTTTACGGTTCTTTTTACATTTTACTCAAATTGATAATCTTAAGGAAATCGTTGATTTTACAAATCTCCAAACGATAATTTGATGGAATTTATTGATTCTAAGTCTGCGAGTTTTTCATCTCGAGAGTGGTCGAAAAGCTCTCGATAATAAAAAAAATGGCAGGTTTTTACGCAAATTGAATTCCTGCGGTCACTTTACTGAATAAAAAAACTTCAAAAGCTTCACCCTCAGAATCATTTTAGAACAATTCATAAAAAAACTAATTAAAATAATGATACAATACATTGTCTTATGTCTCATGTCTTATGTCTGATAAAACTCTTTAGGTGAAGGTGATATTACGAATTTCCAACCCGGCATTCGCTGCGTCGCCTCCAGACGCCGAGAGACACAACAATTTTCTAGCTTTGGACAAACGAAAGAAGCAAGTAACATTAATAGATCCTGCCGTTTGTAATGGGCTAACTCCAGAAGACAGGAGGGTAGGCGTGGCGGCTCCTAAAATGTTTGCCTTCGATGCTATTTTCTCGCAAGACGATTCACAGGTGTTGTATACATAAATTTCTTTTAAAACACGTAAAACTCGACATATTACTCTTGATAAGTAGTAAATAATTGGGAAAGGGTTTAATAAATCCACGATACCCACTAAAATTACTTTAAAATTATTTACAGATGTTTGTATACTATTTAAAATTTAATCTAAATTTGGTTAGATTTAGTTTAGAAGATTTTGTTTATAGTACCTACCTATACCTACATTAATACGAGAATTCTTTGCTTTATCTAATAATTAACAGCAATCATACAATTTCATTTCTATCGTTCTATAGAGTTAAATCAAGGTTAGTTCTTAAAGAAGAAGTCTATTCAAATATTTTATCGAAACCAAATAAGGCGCATATTTTTTTTATAAAATTGCGTTAATCTATTTTGAGAATATTAAAGGTTATTAAGTTTTTATACTGATAAGATAGGTACAATGTGGACAGTCCGATCCTGCATTCCTCCAGTTGATAGAAATGAAAAGATACATGCTTTTATTAATTTGTAAGATAATGATACATATATTTGGTAAAAATTCATGAAATTGTTTGGACTTTGTTACGCAAAAACCAGCGGGGCAACAGCCAACCTGTTTCATGCAGATTTCCGTTAAATGACAAAGATAACTTTTCCCGGATATTTTCCACTTGCACATCCTATATATTGAACAAAATATTTTGACTATAAAGTTGTTATCATGAATGTATGAAATGTGCATACTCAATTGTAGACCAGTAGATGTTTTTGTACACTAATTTGTTGAATAATTAAATATTTAAATGATGAGTAAATAATTAAAATGTTACATCAAAATATACTCACGAATAGTTAATGCATTCATGATAACCGGTAGAAATTACCTCTTAATATAATAGTTTAAGAAAAGGGTCGCTTGGTATTGCAGATTTGCCAATCTGAATTAAATCTAACCCTCCCCAATTTTGAAATTTTGTGTATCTCGGCTTCAAAACAACTTTCATACCTTGAATTTTTTAAGAGCTACAATAATTTTCAAATATTTATATCTAATTATATTTATTTTAGACCGAAATATGTGCCGGTGTTCTTACAGAAGTTATCCATGCCGTTATTAACGGTACCGATGGTTGTCTATTTTCATTTGGTCAAGTTGGTTTAGGTAAATAGGCCAATCCTGGAATTATTAACAATAATCAATTTAATTGTTTTTTTAGGTAAATCTTATACAATGCTGGGTAATCCGGAGAGTACTGGTACTATCGGTATTATACCATGCGCAATTTCGTGGCTCTTTAAGGGAATTTGTGAACAAAAACAGAAAACCGGTGCCAGGTTTTCAGTACGAGTGTCCGCCATCGAAATCGGTGGTCCAACGAACCAATTCAAAGATCTATTAGTAGGATATTCTAACGGTATAAAATTAATTTTATTTGCATAATTACTAACTTAATTCAAAGATCCGGCACACCCGAGACAATAAAACTATTTAAATTAGACGCGAGTGGTTGCCACGAACTTTCGTAGGAACAATTAAAAACTACAAAGTTCAACCCGGCTCGGCTCGAGAATTCGCACGAGACTCGTATTACCTTAGTGAATAATACGAAAACTTTTCAGAATCCGAACAATCCCCCGGAGTCTACTTACAAGACGACCACCTATTTGCCAACCAATCCCCTCCGCATTGTGAACTTCGAGTACCGAACGCCGAAAAGGCCGCTTACTATTTAGATGCGGCTTTAGATTGCAGAAACTATACCAAAGAACAAATGCGGGATTCTCATTTTCTGTACACCCTTCACATCTATCAGTATAGCGTCGCGGGAAAAGGAGGAGGTATGCATCATACCTAATATAAATAATTTTATTTCTTCATCGATATATTTCAAATATAACTTAATTCAAAATTTAGTTGCAGGAGGTAGGAGTCGTCTTCATTTAATCGACCTAGGAAACGCTGATCGGAGCAGAACCAGCGGAGGAATACCCCTTTCTGGCGTAGGAAATATAATCCTCTCCATTCTTAATGGGCAAAAACATTTGCCTTACAAAGATAACAAGTTGACGCAATTATTGAAAGAATGCCTTGGATCTGTTACATGCCATACTACAATGATCGCCCACGTTTCGCCTTACGCCCAATACTATTTAGATACCCTTACTACAGTGCAATTAGCTTCTCGAATACATCGAATGAGACGAAGGAGATTGAAAGTGTTTGCGACTGGTATTAGTAATAGTTCGGGAGGTACGGCACATAAAATTCTAGTTATAGATGAATTTATAAATTTAATACTTCAGGAAGTTCCGGAGAAGACGCATCTAGAAACGGCACCGGCAGCGAACCAGATCCTTCCAGCAGCGATTTGTCTGCGGACACTGTGATATACGTAGGAAGAGCTGAAGAAGCGACAGACGGTGAACATCCTCCCGTGTACATACCTAGCCTCAATTCCGGAGACAACAGGTGTTCTAATATGAGCAAAATTTTGAAAGGTAACTATTATATAACAACTATTTCGCCAGTCATGCAAACTAAATCAATTTCGCAGGTTCCATAAGCGAGCACAAAGTCACGCAAACATCCAGGATAACTAAGCCAGTAGATAAAACAATCCGCTCTCCAAAATCCACCCACAGGTCATCGACCCACGGTAGCAGTTCATCGAGATCCCCGATCAGGAAAGATTCGTCCAAATACAAAGTTGATGCAACGAAGTACTTTTCCAGCGACCGCAGCGATGAGCAATGGATCGACGGGCCTCGCATTTCGAAATCCAAGATCGCCGAGGCGTTTCAGTTGATGAAGGAAAAATATCGGGTTCGCAAGTGCGAAACCTGGATAGACGGGCCTATGAAGGAAGAGTTGAACACGGCTTACGGTTACATGGATAATCATAAGAAGCACATGATCAAGAAATGGGTGGAACATCAGTCGGTCCAATATCAAAAGGCGAAGCAAGTAGTTCCTAAAGTTGCGAAGGTGGTTTCACAGAAGGATTATGTTAGAGAAAATAATTTTGTCAAACAGAAAGATGAAACTACTATTTCTGATGTAAGTGTATCAACTAATCATCGTAATTTTATTTAATACCTTTTATTTTAGAATTTGTGTAAGAAACGATATTCAGATAAATATGGAAAAACGAAAGGTACCCTAACGGATGAAGACAATGAAGATGAGGAAGAGCCTGAATTGCCTCCAGCTTTGCCACTTATACAACCTCTGAGCAGCAGAGAAGTGTCTATTGAAAGCTTAGATCAAATTCTAAGAGAACGATTGCTTTCTTCTACTGAATATGAATTTAACGACCAATGCTCTAATAATTATGCAGAGAATGAAGTTATGGAGTTAATTGAAGTAGAAGAACCTTCAGAACCTGTACCTATGCAAGACCAGTGTTTACAAGTAACAGAAGAAGATATTAATAGTTGTATGGGACAAACGGAAAACCCTTTGCCAGAAGTTGACCAGCAATCCTTGCTAGGGAATTCTTTAAGGTGCCTCAGCGAAGAAAATCTAAGCGGAAATTCTTCGTTCGCAGATTCCGTATCAATTTTCAACGAATTGGAGAGAATTTTACCCCGTGGCCTGGACTTAAATACTTTTTTTAACGATTACGAGGACATCGACAACAATTTCGACGCACAAATCTTCGGCGACATTCAAAAAATCAACGATCCGATTAATCACAAACTCTTCTGCACGGGCGCCGGAAAATCCGAATACGCCGACTTGGAATCGCCGAAAGACAACTACCTAATCAAAAGTTACAAATCGATGACGCTAACGGACATTCTATGCGATCAACAGAAGCAGCGCCATGACGACAGCAGCATCTACAGCGAACCGATTTATCTTCAAGAAAGGTTTTGTGAGAACTGCAAAGCGAACATGTCGAGATCGAACGCCCTGTTGAATGAGTACAGGCCGTTTTTCAGCGTCGCTTACAACGCGTACGAAGGAAGTCTATTAGAAAATGATGAAAGATTTCAGAGGTACATATCTTATTTTTTTGTAAACCTAACACTGTAAACATTAAAACATTTTCTAGTCGTATAAATAGTACACATCTATCTGTGGTATATTTAAATATACGAGCAACATGTTGATTATTGGATGTGTGAAGACTTTTACATAGTATTTCTATTATGAAATAATAAACAACTCTTTTTAAACGAACTAAATTTGGTTGATGCACTTGAAAATCAACAATTTCTTATACATACTAAACTAATAGACATACGTTTTAAGGAACCATGAATCTTCTAAATTATATACACCATTATTTCATTGAAAATTGTGTTTTTGTTTCTGCAGATTTAACCACATGCAGAGAGAATTATCTGAGCTGCGCCAGCCTGACGGTGCTTCCAATCCCCATTTAGAAGAAGAAAACGAAAGGCATCCGGGAAACGGTGCTTGTTCTGGTGATACAACGTCCGATTTCGGCAAATCCGAGTCGTTGGTGGAACGCTTGTACCGGAGTCGGCAGGACGAGACGAATTTTGCGACCGGAATCGAGGCTATTAAACTGAAACACAAGCATTTGCACAAATCCGAAGATGACAGTTTGGCCACGAAGGGCTACAATTCCAGCCCTTCGACATCGTTCAAACGAGTCGAACCTGTAACTGAAATTAGTACAAACAGTGGGGATGTTTCCTATTCCAAATCCGAATCTGGTGATATTTCAATTTCGCATACTCGCAGAAAATGCAAACACAATCACAACAAATCGTTTTGTTCTTGGTTTTTGAATCCGTTCACTTGTAAATACGAAAACGAAGCGAAAGAAACGCATTTATAATGAAATATTTTCCACACATAATTCAATTGCTAAAAACTAAAATGGCAGAAATAGTAATAATGTTCAACAGCTAACACTCCACATCTTCAAAAATAGAAGAAGATAAACCAACGTTAATAATCATTTATTTTTTACTTTTTTACAGATATTGGGCCCACTAGTTTTTTTACCTTATAAAAATAATTAAAAGGAAATCTTGTAGGTACCCAAATCCCTAAATACATTTTTGATACTAATTGTAGTAAGTGTAGTAGCTTCTACAAATTGTAGCTTCCTTACAGTCATTGTGATGCTTACGAAACATTTAACCCAATTCAACCAATATCCATTCTAATTAGTAGCTAGGTACATATTTGCATAAATTTTATCTGGTACCTAAAATGAATAAAAAAAATTATTAATTCCTCGCTAAATTATTTACCTTATGTATACGTAATTGTGTCAAAACAATGTTTTATTAATGATATTGAATATTTTTCATACTCCATATCATCTTTGACTTTACTGATGGGATCACACTTTTATACCTTGCCAATTATACACAGCTTTTGATAATTGTATTAAACGTTTTTTACGAGATTTTTTAGAAAATTATATGTAATAGGAACGCGTTTGTTCGAATGGTTCGTCTTCCTTTTCTTGTTCCATTTGGTACAAATTCATGCTTGCTTGTATGCTAATATTACCTTGGTAGGTACAGGTAGGTACATACATACAATGCATGCATATGTGAATTGCGAAGCCATATGTTGTAGATTTTAAATTAATGTTTTTTTTTAATTATTTGTCGATGTGGAATCAAAAAGTAGGAAATGCTTTAAATTTACCTCATTTTAGGTGCCTTTGGTGAAAAATTCGTTCAGTAAGAACCAAACAACTCAATCCTGCTTTTTAATTCCATGTATAAGAATTTCAATTTAAATTACTTCGAAGAGAGTTTTGTCCTGCCATACTCTTAGTAATAAAAGTTATTAAATTGTTTAATAGTTTAAGAGCATTATTTAGTAAGGATTTATTATATGGATAAATATTTTGTAATTTGCAATTAGTTAATTGTTTTAAATCATTGCACAATTCAGGTACAATTCTTGTCACTGATATTCAAGATATAAGTTTGTTGTTAAATTCATTAGTTATGGTTAATATTCCGTTATCTAGTGGAAATAGGGAGTAAAATGCTCTGTTCTTCCACCTTATCTACCTACAGATAAATATTTTTTCGTTTTAATTGGAATGATAGGACTTTTTTAAGTTAGTACTTATCATAGCTACTTACGATAAAACAATGATTACTCGAATCACTCCGTATTTCCATTAACCTTTTCTTTGCTAATTGCTTGTTAATTATATTTATTGACAATGTTAGGAGTATTTATTTCATTTAAAAATAATTGTATGAGAATAAATAATATAATCAACCGATTACTAACGTGTTTATTTTTGAAGTCAAGATCGCTACTAAACCTTCAATTGCCATCATATCATTTCATGGTGTTCCAATTTAACGATTTTTTCACTCGCCGACCAAACTTTTGTACAGAAATTTTTATCGCTCGACAGTGCTGGTTTCAAATCGGGGAAATACTTCCCAAAGAAGATTCCCGTCGTATTTTTAAATTTTTTCGACGTTGCTAAATTGATGCATGCTTGAATAGCCTTTTCGGGTGGCTGGAAGTTTATTATTATTCAATAAAAACTCTGTGACTAAGTAAACGAAAAGAATACTCACCACTCCTACGAATATTCTCAAAAATGAAATGCCTGCAAATGCGAATAAATCCGTGAAGCTTGCATAATTCAAATTTTTTCTCGTATTCCTGAAGAACGTGGTTCTCGCAACGCCCGGATGATAAGTGTTGCAAGCTATGTTGAACTTTTTCAATTTATTCGCGAATATATCCGAACTAACGACAGTTAAAAATTTTGCGTTAGCATAATCGAACATTCTGTATTGCGGTATCACTATGTCATTAGAGGTGACGGATGCTGGAGTCATTTTGTGCATGAAAGACGCCACCGAGGTAGTGAAAACTATACGAGCGTCATCAGATTTCTTCAATAAATCTTCAAAATAAAAACGAAATCTATTTAGTAAAATTGGATAATTGTTGCAATGGATTTGAAAAGTTATAATGTATGGGGTGTGTCCTAATTAAAAGTCTTAATAAAATGCATGAAAAAGGGCCTGGACACCCATTTATATACTAGTATGATGTAGAATGATACTGTAATTTGAGCTGATATTAACAACTAACAGTTATTAGACAAATATAATTACTAATAATGTGCTTAGTGTTTATAATAATAACTATAATTTATAATTTGTATGTAAAAATATAATAATAAAAATTGTAAAAAACAATCATTGTTTCATTAAGAAAATAAACTTTTAGCACCTATAGTGTAATCTTGTGCTTAATTGAGATAATAATTATATTCTTACTAACTAGCTAATTATATTCTTAATAACTAACTAAAAATTTTTGCTAAAAAACAATTATAACTTTCATTGTAAGGTCACATAAATAATGTATTACCAGTACAAGTTTTTTATCAAAATCTCCTCTTTTAAATTCACGGTAACCAAAATTTGGTAAATGGAACACCCCATATAATATGTAGAGGTGTGCTAAAAGATATACTCAAAAATAGATTATTTGATAGATTTGATAGATTTTGATAAAAGACACCCTTTACAGGCGATACAAAATGTCTGTCTTACTGTAACAAGACTTATAACAAAATAAAACATATCAGCGAAAACAGCATGTCCTTATAATTAGGCGTTTAAATTACGAGCCGATCAAATGGGCTATTTTTCGTTAGGACACCCTGTATAACTTGCAATTTTTAAATTATCCATCTATCCAAACTATCTATCTATTTTTATCTCATCTCATTTTTTTATCTCATCTTTATCTCATATTTTTATCTCATCTATCTATTTTTAAATCCATCTATCCAAACCGTCGCGAGAAATTATTACTTACCTATCAACAGATGGGTTAACAGAAATGGTCCATAGTAATTAATTTGGAAAGTTTGGTTCAAGCCGTCTTCGCTTGGGGTTTCAGGAGCTTTACCAATGCCAACATTATTTATTAGAATGTCTAATTTAGTTTCGGATCTTTTTAATTTTTCGCAGAAATTCCTTATGGATTTAAATGAAGTGAAATCGATTTGTTCGAGAATAATGTTGTTATTGTCAGTTGCACTAATTATGCCATCTTTTACGGATTCTTCAATTATCTTGTCTGCTATAATAACTCTGCATCCTCTTGATGCAAGTGAAAGTACTATTTCGTAACCCAAACCTACAATTTAAACGAATTATTTATTTATTGAATTTATTTATTTAAATATTAGTACGTTGTTTAAATTATTCATCAAAAACAAGAATATTTCGAATATGAGAAACTCTTACCTGAACTACCTCCTGTAACTAAGGCGGTTTTACCCACCAAACAAACGTAATTGTCGGATTCAACATATCCAAATTTAAAATAAACAATTAGATAAATTAGCAAACACAATATTAGGAGACACAATATTATTGTTATCAACGACATGATCAGTTTTAACTCCACATCGGTTGAACGTTTAAGTCAGCAGTTGTTTTATTGAATACATGTATTTTAAGGATAAAGGTCAACTCGTCGAAGTTATCATCTGACAGCCAATTGAATAAATACATATATAATATAAAAATATTTACATTTATAATATAGTATATAATCCTAAGTGTTTTGATTTTCCAGAAAATTTTAAAAATCGATTATGGATATCTTTTTAGATTTTTTACTCCTTTTTTTATTGGCCAATATGTATAAAGACGTTAAATATTCCTGAAGTCTATGCGGCATTTAATACAGGGTGTTAGTTAATAAGTGCGACAAACTTCAGGGGGTGATTCTGTATGAAAAAATAATATTTTGCTGTACATATAAATGCGGGTAATAATAAAATTTTTTAGAAGAAAAAAATAATATATATTGGTATGCCACTGAGGCATTTTTATTGAAAATTCAATTATAATATTATATTATATTATTTAATTATTATATCAATGAATTCCTCGTTCAATTTGTGACAAAAAAAAACTCTCTTGTGTTTTTTCGTGCGGGCCGCTATTTTCCAGTAAAAAAATAAAACATCTTGACGTGTATTTTTCATTTTCTCTCCCTGTATGAACGAATCCATGGAGACATTTATTTTTTTTGAGAGTCATATTTATTTGGCAATTATACAGTCAAATGATATAATAAAAAAAATATATTTTTTTTAATATGATTCCTTCTGGATTATTATGTTTGTTTCGTCGAAATTTTAGTGTTTCGCTGAAGGTAAGTCAGACCAAATTTATAGATACTTATTTCGAAAGCGCAAGGAAAAAAATTAAAATAAACGTATGCTACGTGTGCTATATTGGAATTGTCTTTTAGAATAACTACAAGGTGGCTGTACTGGGAGCATCCGGTGGATTGGGCCAACCTCTCGCTTTGCTACTTAAACTTAACCGAATGATCAAGCAATTAGATCTGTACGACCTCGTTAAAGCTCCTGGCGTCGCAGTCGATTGTTCCCACATTGAAACTCCACCAAAATGTAAAGGGTAAGCAATAAAAATGCTCCTTCATATCTCTTAGGATATTTGTCGTGTAAAGAATTTTCAGATTGCAGTTTTACGAGAAACGCTAAGCACACTGGAGCTTTAAGTGTATCATATTGTTTGTAGAATGTCACGCGAATTTAATATTTGCCGTTTTATAAGTTTATTTCCTCCCATAAGCATTGTATGGGCTACTCAAATATAATTATACTTTTCGCAATTAAAATAATTTCCTGTGAATAATATTTCACTGTTAATTTTGATTAAAGATATGGTAAGAAGGACCTTAAGAAAGCATTAAAAGGCGCTCATATTGTTATGATAGCTGCTGGTCTCGGCAGAAAACCAGGTACCCAATAGTTATTTAGAGTATAATATTGAAACATTTTCGAATTTTATACTATTTTTATATATTGTAGGAATGACTCGAGATGATTTGTTTAAAAAAAATGCAGATCTTATAAAAGAGATAATGGAAAAATGCGCAAAAGTTTGCCCAAAAGCTTTAGTTGGAATAATTACTAATCCAGTTAATTCTCTTGTTCCAATTGCTTGCGAGATTTTAAAACAGGTACCTCTAACTCTTATTAATTCCATCAGGCAAGCTAACTGGGTATATCTAATGTATTTTTTTATCAGAATTGTGGAGATCCCAAGCGTGTTTTCGGCATTACTACTCTGGATACATGTCGAGCCAATACATTTGTTGGTGAATATGCCAAAAAATCACCCTTAGATATAAATGTGCCTGTCATCGGCGGGCACTCTGCTGATACGATGATACCCCTTTTCTCTCAAACCACACCGAAGGTCGATTTATGCGGAGAGGTTGTGCAAAAGATGACGAAAAGAGTACAAAATGCCGGTACAGAGGTAAGCCTTGTTAATGAAATTTTCAAGAAACTGTGATTATAATAATACGGTTTGAAGGTGGTAAAAGCCAAAGGTAGTTCTTCGACGCTTTCCATAGCCTACGCGGCTGCTCGATTTACCAATTCCCTCCTCAGAGGTCTTAAAGGAGAAAAGAATGTTATAGAATCGGCTTATGTGAAGTCGGATGTCGTTTGCGGTGTTAGTTATTTTGCCACTCCTTTGCTGCTGGGAAAGAACGGAATAGAAAAAAATTTGGGCGTAGGAAAACTCAACAAATTTGAGAAAAAAATTATGGCGAAAGCTGTGAAAGCGTTAAAGAAGAACATCGACAAGGGCGTAAAATTTGCCAAGTCGTCTAAATGCTAAATTATTCTATTGTAAATAATTTAATCGCCAACAATGTTTTTAAAGAAATATTGCGGAAAGGTAATTTAAGCCAAATTAAATTATATGAGAAAATTTTCCATAAAGTTCGTTTAGTCTTTTATATGTTACCTACATACAATTAAGCTTAGGTTTCGCATATACGGTATCGGTTTTCTGTTTAAAAAAACACCCTCAAACATTTCTCACAATTCTTTAATGGATCGACTTTTAGCAGAACAGCCGGTAAATTTTCCTGCTCGCCATAAATTTTCATCTGCTAAAACCGTCCGCTCCGACTGCCCGTCGATTTTCACTATAATTATTTTTAACCATTGCGTGTCGGAAAGTTGCTTCTACCTCTGCTGGAATTTTGAACGCGCAAATTTATTCATGTCTCCCCAGCGAATGTGTACAAAATATATACGTATAAAATTGGATTTCGGTTATTTCTCTCAGCTATAAATATTAATTCAATTTTATAAAACTTTTGGAATTGGATTTGGAAATTATTTGCGAATTTGGGGAGCAAACGGTTTTGAACAACCCAATATACTCTGACCTCTGTAATTATTGCTACTATAAAAGAATGAAATTGTTATAGGATTTATTCAATACAGGCAGATAAGTTACTAAAAATATACTTTTTTATTCCATTTACGGAATTTCAATATGATTTTTTCTCTGTTTTTTGCTATTGTGTAACTAATAGCATTTAAAATGCATATTAGCAAATATTGCTATTGCCCAAATTCTTGATATACCAAATAATTTATTAAAACAGTTTTTCAAAAGCATTTCTTGGAAAATAAATAAATCGCAAATTTCTTTTGGCTTTCTAGCTTTGTACTTACAATACCGTATTAGCGAAATTTATGGTACTTGGAACTACAGCCATTTATTAGAAACCAGAAGGTCGTTGATTTTCCACATCTTTTATAATAGGGTGCAGTACATACCCGAAATTTATTAAATCCGAAAATATATTTCCACCGTTCCGGGTAGGAGTTGAAATGAGAAATTAGTTCAGTCACTGTAACAGATGTTCACTCTTTGCCGTTTCGGAATTTATGAGAAACTCATTCGAATGAAGATGACAACAAAAATTGCAGATACACTATACACATATTTATACCTGGTTTTTCCGTTATTATTGCTCTATTATTACATGAACGTCTTTTTAGATATATTCTTAATTTACGATTATTCAAGATAATTTAACCTAATTCTTTTTACCTGTAAAAATCTCTGGAAAAATTGCTTGATTAATCCGTGAAATGAAAAAGGAAAAATAACTTCTCATTATTCAAGCCGCGCTTCCGTTAAAAATTCTCTCAAGTACATGAAAATCCCTTCTTCGTGGATGCAAAACTTATACATCAGACTGTACTAAAACAAAAGATATGAATCCACTCCGGCATAACTGGAAGATTCGTAAAAGGAAAGCTCGCAATATTCATATCTGATTACGGGTCTTCGGAGAAAACGTAATATTGTTAGGGTAAGTTTTGTGCTTACTACGGTCATTTGCATGAAGGAGAAAAATACGAAAATTTCATTAGGCCAAGAGAAAGGCGTTCGTCCTCGGCCATACACGAATGCAACTTTTCGAGATATCTTTCCAGTTTCCGCTTTTATATTTTCTATTTCTGCTTTTGTTGATCGTTTGTGATAAGTTCCTGGATATTTAAAATTCCGTCGGTGTTCGAAAAGTTTCCAGTTTGAATCGTGCTGGGAAAGACTTAAAAACGATCTGCTTTCTCTGATAAACTAACATTTTCCGGCTATTGGTGAAGGCAAAATGAAATTCTTATTTCAATATGATGGATTTCAAAAAACCCGAAATCTACATGGAATGTATGTGCAAATATTAACACAAGTAACTTGATTTATTCTTACATTTAGGTCCCTAAATATTTCTTAACGATTAATTAAATTGAATTAACGAATAAATGAAGCAAATATATGCCAATATCAAATTGTAGGAAATCTAATTTAGTATGGATGAAAACCCTCAGCCGGAATCTCGAAAACGGTTAACAATCCTGTTATTTCGACCTCGATCTTTCTTTCATGGGGCTTTCGGGAATTTTCGTTTCCAATTCAATTTTCCGTCTACCTATTCGACAGGAGCAATTAATTATTCAGACGTAGCACATCCCCATCAATCTTGGGATAAAGGTTATGTCCGAAAGGGTTTGGTGATAAATAGGTCAGACGCATATGATTCTGGACTGCACCAAGGATTTACTTCCAACGAATAAAATCGATACCGAATTTAAAATGTTAATGATTGATTGTTAAAAAGGTTCTTGCTTTTTGATGAGTTAAACACTGTCATATTTAATCAAAATGCGTATTAGTTTGAGTTCAAATTTTGATGGTCAATACCCGTTGTTAATAAATTTATACCAATTCCATAAATGTCAACTTAACGTGTATGTAACAATTGAAGCAATTAGGGGATTCAATCTGATTACGATTGTTGTACACCCTCCATTGATCCGCTTTGAAGGTGATTGGATTATGTTACAGTTAAAATGCATACATACAATTTCAATGATAATTAAAGTTCAATTAATATATTCGCTATTCATTCGTTAGAAATGCTCACGTCATTTATTTTGTAGAATTTCTTAAATGTAAATCCGAAGACACGTTCTATAGCTGTTGAATATGAAAGTGATGAAACGAAAAAAAATCCCGCAAACAAACGATTTTCGCTTCATCTGCAAAGAACGTTGCCGCAGTAGATTTTCTCTTTTAACTCGACAATAAAGAAAAAGAGTAAAATTTGAGGAATACAAATTTTCCGGTTTTACATAGTGCAACCCCTAAAGATTCGGTTTTCGACAAGACGTGATCGAAACCCGAATAAAGTTTACAGAGAAAACGTTTCCTTCGATTTAGCAGAGTAATGCTGAGTCCAGTTATTTGTTCTGCTTTAGTGAGGAGTGGTTTGGATTTCTACGGATCGTTCGTAATATTACAGGGGTTTCATAAATCATAAAAAAGTAAACCACGTTTCAAACACAAATTTGTAGAATTGTAAAATGTTTTTCTAGCATTACTTTTACAAAATATTTTATAACAAATATTTTTTTAGAAATAGATATTTTTGGATAGCAACACCTATATAAGAATTTGCGAAAGATATTAAAAAGTATCCTACGGCTATACGAAACCGATATATATTTTCTGAAGTATAAAAATACGAAAATAAAATTCTTCGATACAGAAAATTTCCGCCGATACAAATTATATTTCCCGATTCATTTTACACTCGTTTTTCGTCGAAACGTTTTATATTATCACCTTTACTCAATTTCCACCGTTCATACCTTTCCTTATTCCACGTAGCGTTCCTCTAATCATAAATGGAAATTCGAGCCAATACGTTTCGCAATCCTACGTCAACCTGAAGCCTATCTGCTATTTGCCCCAGGGAAGCCTGTCAATGCAAATGAAAAGGAGGACCTCCTTTCAAGGGAAATCAACGTCTTCAATATTTAAGCAATAATTTAGTTTTAAATGGATAGACAATGCTGAAAGGCTTCGTGTAAATACAACGCTCATCGATTTTGCTACCTTTCGTATATGAGAAACATAAGAAAAATTCTACTTTTTCGTTTTGATATAATTTAGCAACTACCTTTATTTACTTTCAATACGTTGTGTAAATCGTATTAAAACTGAAACTTTTAGAAAAATTCAATTTTGTTATCGTCGTATTGAAGACTGCAATCTCTTAAAAAAGCGCATTTTCTAAAGCCTGCGAGAGGTATTTAAGAATTGTTTGTATTCTCAAGGCGTTGAAAACCGACATTTTCATTAGGGTTTGCGCCAGGGTTAGACGTAAGCTATTTGCTATTACTGTTCTAGAAAAAAAGGTCGCAACAACCTAATTACGGCACGAAAGAATAGCATTAGAGGAGCTGTGAATAGAGTAAAAAACACATAAATTCTGCAGTCTCCGATGGGAATAAATGCTGCAATAAAAACACAAAAATTTTCAATTTTAAATTGTATTATTAAATTATTTGCCTAACGTTTTCTAAATACAAATTTTAAGAAAGTATGTAACAATAACCAATTCGATAGTGTTTTCTTTATAACTCAAAAACTGTTCCAGGTAGATTCGCATCTTCAAATTTTAGGAATAACAATCATATGCAATTTAGTTTTTGAAGGAGAGTTAATTAAATTTGATTTAGGCGACCTAATTTCCTTCGGAATACATTTTTACCTTCTGAAATAATTTCTGTACTGTATAATTTTGAATCAAGAGTTACCTAGGTAGGTACTCTAAAAGTCCAAAAACCCCATTGACTGATTTAGTGCGATTCACCAAGATTCGTTCTTTATTTTATTGTGGAAAGTCCTCGTGAAATGTGTTACTCGTTACAGCGTATTTCTCCGCAAAGAAAGTTTAAACAAGAAGGGAATAAATTTAAAAAGAGGCCGGGCAGGCGACTAAACCCAAACGAATGTGCAAGATAAAAAAAACCGGCCAACGCCATCATTCTTCTTGTTCGGGCTCTTGTTGTACTACAGTACACTATTAAATAAAATGAAAATTTTCTCTTGCTTCGGATATTCAATATATTTTGTCTGGTTTTTATCGTATCCGGGGAGCATTTGTTTGAGCGAGTTAATGCAGATTTATCGTTTGGTCGAATGATTCACGGGAAAGGAGGAAATTCCGTTCTCATTTTAAAACGAACTGCTTCGAGATTGCTGCTGGCAATGGAGTTTTAAAATTTCATTTAACAGGCCCTTGAAGTTGATTTCATCTGAGTTACTGCAAAAAGAAGGTATGCTAATTTCTCATACATATTAAAAACTAGTAGTTTTATTTGTAAATCTGCTGTAAAAATGAACTGATATGCGTGTTATTCTCCTGCTGGAGTCCATGTGGAATTAATTTTCTGGATGGGCAAGGGTCGGTGCTTGTTTCGAGTAAAAGTATATTCAGTCAAATTAGGGTCACATTCGTTGCATCATTAATATTAATGCAGATATTTTTTTTTCGTCCTCCCCCAGCCATTGTTAATTAAGTTCATTAAGTCAGTAACTTTTTTTTCTAGGTAAATATCAAATGCATAG